GACAAAGTGCAAAATCAAGCGCTCAGAGTCATCACAGGAGGGATGAAATAAACTCCCATATTAGAAATGGAGAAAGCTGGGAAAACACAGGCACTGAGAGAACGCAGAGATACAAAGTTGCAAATACAAGCTGAAAAGTTCCTCAGTATGCCAGATCACCCGATGGAAAATAGATTTAAGAACCTAGCCTTTAGACGGTTAAAAAGAAGCAGCTTTATACACCAAGCAAAAAGAATATGTAGACAAACTCCTGACCTTCCAGAAATTGGCTGCCCACTTAAAAGTATTCCGGAACAAACCCCATGGAGAGAAAAATGTAAACTAACGGTACAAATCCAGACAAATGTGAAAGGGATATTTGACAAGAAAGAGAAAGATAGTGTACAACGCAAAATGGCCACCCTCAGTTATATTGATAAAGAATACCCACAAGAACAATGGATCAGAGTCTATACAGATGGGTCCGCAGAAAGTGCAGTTAGAAATGGTGGTGGTGGAGTGTACATAGAATTCCCAGATGGTACTAGGGATAATCCAGCGTACCAACTGGGAAGTACTGCCATAACTACGATGCAGAAACCCAGGCTATCAAGATAGCTACAGAGAAACTGCTAAATACCAACCTTGGCTCACAGTATGTGGTAATGCTGACAGATGCTAAATCAGTACTTGAAGCACTCCAGTCTAGGAAACTACCAGAATTGCAAACACTGCTGACACAACTCAGCGTTCAACGAAGAGTCGTAATGCAGTGGATACCATCTCATTGTGGAGTGCCTGGAAATAAGAAAGCTGATCAACTGGCAGGGGAAGGTGCGACAAAAGAGCAGCCGGATGTACCAGTCACATACCACCAAAAGAAAAGAATCATTAAATCGATCAGGAAACCACCGGCCCCAGCACAAGACGACTATTTTATAATGGACAGACCAGAACAAGTCATTATCTTCCGCCTCAGAACAGGGCACAACAGATTACGTAACCACATGTACACAAAATTCAAAATAGGTGTATCAGCCATGTGCACCTGTGGAAATGTGCCCCAGACAGCAGAGCATGTACTCCAGGACTGCACCGATTTTGACACATTAAGGCAAACCTTTTGGCCAGAAAGAACAACAGTGGAACGTAAACTCTATGGACCACTGAATGAACTAACAACGACAGTGAAATTTATACAAGAGACAAAACTGCTGATGTAGACAACTTATTTCAGGCGAACGAAAGAAGAAAAAGAATATCAACATTGCACATGGTAGTAGCAGACGATAAATACAGACTGTTGACAATTTTGAGCGTTTCTGCAGACGACGATACTAGCAGACGATATTAGCGACTGTTGACCACTTTCGAGACATTACAGACGATGAAAGCCGATTAGCAATACTGTGTTCTTCCGTTTGGAGGATTTAGCATTGGTAGATGTCAGACTTGTCGGCATGTGCCAAACGCGATTAAACTCATCGCAGAGCGTATCCCCAGCGCCGCTACGCACAGCGCGGATGGGGGGGCTAAACTAGGTGCCTGTGACTGACGAGTACAGTAATTGCAGGAGATGTGGTAGCTGCCGCTCGTGAGTCCCAGCCATCCTAGTTTAGTCCCCATCCGCGCCGTGCATAGGGGCGCGGGGGATACACTAGGCAGTGAGGCACGCTCGCAGAAGCAGGTCGGCAAGTAACGTATCGCCAAGACCCTGTCAGACCATTTGTTTCGTTATCCCGAGCTGGCACATATATTTTTAATAGAACTGACCCGCATTAGGATATTTTTGGATATTTGATGGCAAGAAATTTGTCAATTTAGCTCTCTTTTGAACGCCATCATATTAAAGCCGCTATTTTGGGGGTTGATTCAAAGGAGAGCCGGAAATTACTTAATGAGTAATACTAATAGTAATACTAATAATACTGATATACTAATAATAAAATAGTAAAGAAACAGTAATTAAACCTGTGTGTGTTGTAAGAAATGTATAATATTTGATTTCATCTGTTACATTTAATACACACACTTTGTACTTCATTTGTGTATGTTTAGTTAGTAGTATGTCAGCATAACATTTGTAGGCTCTCCTCCGAACGGCATCATAATATTATGGCGGCCATAAAATATCCAAAAATATCCAAATGGGGCTCAGTTCTATTAAAAATATGCCGGCTCCGTATAACGAAACAAATGCTCTAACAGGGTCTCAGCGATATATGTTACTTGCTGACCTGTTTCTGTGACTGTACCTCACCGTCGACAGTATCCCCTGCGTCGCTACGTGCGGTGCGGATGGGGGGCTAAACTAGATGGCTGGGACTCACGAGCAGCAGCTACTGCATCTCCTACAACTTCCTCCATTTGCTCGTTAGTCCCAGGCACCTAGTTTAACCCCCCATCCACACCGCACGTAGCGGCGCAGGGGATACACTCGGCGGTAAGTTAATCGCGTTTTGCGCATGCCGAAAAGTGTGAGGATACAGGTCGGCAGGTCTGACATCTACCGCTGTTAAATCCTCAATCGGACGAACAGTTTACTAATCTACGTGGGAGCGCTTGGTCTACCTGCCATATCGCTTTCATCGTCTGTAATGTCTCGAAATAGTCAACAGTCGCTAGTATCGTCTGCTAGTATCGTCTGCAGAAACGCTCGAAATTGTCAACGGTCGGTATTTATCGTCTGCTACTACCATGTGCAATGTTGATATTGTCAAGTAATCCTAGTTTTGCCGCGATTTGTTCCTTGGCAGAAAGTCCGTATTTTAGATATGCCTGAGCCCCGTTCGGATATTTTTAGAATTTTTATGGCCGCCATAATATTATGATGTCGTTCGGAGGAGAGCCCATTTGTATAAGTCCAACCACATTCCTGTTTTGTCCTTTACTAACTAGCTAGATGCTGTCTGGAGAGGAAGGGTGTATTAGAAGAGAAACAGCCATTGCACATGATAATGTTGTAACCTTCAGAACATAATGAAAACCTCAGAATTTACACACCAAGGGCAGTTTTTGCTTGTTATTGATTGGCGTTCTGAAACATAAATTTAGTTTCTTTCAACTTATATCAACAAAATTGTCAGTTCAATCTGAATTGACCGTGTGTGTTTTGTTAAACTGTAAGAGTATTTGAAATAGTTCGGATATAGATTATAGGTGAAAACTTTTTTTTTTCTATGATTACCTTAAAATGTGTGTTGGGACATTGTCTTGTGGTTTACAGCAAGGCTACACTATCTGTACCCTTCAGCCCAAAACATCCTATTTCTGCAGATTCATAATTAGTCATCTTATAGACGTGCTTGTTACTGGAGCATTCTGTCTCCCCCCCCCCCCCCTCCCAGTTTCCCAACACCCCCCCCCCCTCCCCCCAAAGGGGCCCTAGAACTCACACAGGGAGAAGCAAACAAAAGCTGAGATGTTGAGACCTACAGGTCTTACAAGATCACTCTTAAAAAAAAGAAAAAAAAAGATACGAACGTGCTGAGTAATATGAAGGGTAGGAGTGTAATAGAGAAATGACCCTTATGTGGGGAAGTGCCACATAAAAGTAGTCAAAGAGGCAGAAACAGATTCATGTTGAAAACTTGGACAACAAATATTATTATGTGAACAATAACAGCTTTATCAAATGGAAGGATTGAAGGAACATTCCCCCATGTGGGTTCTGTTGCCCCTTTTGGGGTGGCGGGGAACATAGACCCACTGCCCAGCGACTAATTATGGGTGTTTCCTTCAGAGTTGGAGTGCATCTGCCCAAGAGGCAAGGAGCTAGCCATCTGCATACAAATAAACCACATCTGTAAAACGGCTGTGCACGCTAAATTCAAGGTCTGGAACAAGACTAAAGTCTAGTCGTGGATAGACTACCTATCATTGATGTTTGTATTGATGTTTGTTCCAGACTAGGTATCCAAAGAAGGGGCATTAGGACTTTTTTTTTCCATTGGTTTTGTGTGTTTGTGTGTGTATGTGTGTGTGTGTAAGTACAATGTACAGTCGCCTGTCAATAGTTATAGGTCTTCTTCTTGTAATCACATCCTTTGTTTGAAGTTTCTCTTTAGTTCCATTCAGCTTTGACTCATTGGGCCTGTAAAACCTTCTCTGCCTTTTCAGCAGGACTGTAGGGCATCATGTATATATGCTAGATCTGTATTGTTATATATGTCGACACTCCTTGGGTGATGTGGTCAAGATTACATCGGCCACCTTCACTTCACAGCTTCTCATTTGGCTCTTGGTCAACTTGGGTGTCAGTTTTAAAAAAAGAAAAGAAAAATTGCCTCGATGCAGATTTAAACCTTAAACCTTTAGGCTAGCTGCCTTATGCCAAACCGCTACACTACTAGGTGTCTGCTATCATTATTACACTGTTGTCTTTGATTATATGCAAATGACTTTTTATTCATAATGTGTTTTCAGTATTTGAATTTCAATGTTGACTGGTTGAATGCATGATAAAAAGTAGTCGTAATAGTGCAATTATTTTACATCACATTAATATTTTACAGGAAAGTTATTGTTGCATTAGTCACTTTTCTGCCTTCCAGATTCTCTGTATCGTATTTTTATTTGGTCACTATCATGATCTGAACAACAAGGAGAATTTGCTCATAAACAGCTGAGGTATTTTGGCCATATTAAACGTCATGGTGACCTGGAAAGAGTGGTGATAGCTTGCTATGAAGAAAGCTGTGTTCTGTGACGGACCTGTTGATTGATCGTGATAATAGTGATTTGTTAACAGGATTAACAGTCCCCCCTATCTCTGTCTCTCTGTCTCTGTCTCTGTCTCTCTCTCTCTCTCTCTCTCTCTCTCTCTCCCCCTCCCTCCCTCCCTCTCTCTTTCTCTCTCTCTTTCTCTTTTCTCTCTTTCTCTCTATCTCTCACTCTCTTTCTCTCACTCACTTACTCAATCATTCTTCTGCCTTTCCTATCTGCACCCACATATAATGACTGTATTTGGTACATCTTCTTGCTCACAGGCAAAAAAAAATAGGTCTTGTACCACCATCAAGATGAGAGTTAAGGAAATTGATCGGACTGCCAACATGGCCTGGTCCCCAGAGAACAAATACCCCATATATGTGGCTGCGGGGACAGCAGCACAACAGCTGGATGCCACCTTCAGGTATAGTTTACATTTGATTTTATGTTTATACGTGTTTATTAAGTGTTGCCTAGATATAAGTATTCGCTGTCAGCTTCTATGACTTGAATGAATAAATCAAGAATTTCCAGCACTGCACTTGAGACATGCCCAGAGTTGCTCCGTCTCTTTCCTAAGTAGCCATCAAAGACTCCACATGCTGATGGTACCATTTGCAATCTGAATAAAAGTCCACCTATGTTGCCCCTCAGTATTGAATATCTTTGGGAACCTCTACCCTTCTTTCGGGGTTCATCTCTTGCAACAGTGCAGTTATAGTAACTTTTGTAAGAAGTAGACTGGTGAATTATAGATCTCAGAAGCTAACCTTATTACATGACCTCAGATTGAAACCTGATCAAGCACATCGACGCCGTATTCGAGGTTGAGATACAAGACATTGTATTATAACCAGCCACTAATGGGAACAGTCATCCTGGGATGGTTGATGCATCAGAGGACTGAACTCACATGGGAATTGCCCATTGTTCAATTATAACATTATTTGAATGCAGTTTCGCTTAGGCTGCATCACGTGTCATTATATCAGTAACATAAAAGACATGAGTACAGTTTTGCCGTCTACAGTTATTGATTTTAAGAATAAAAATATCAGTCTTAACCAGAAGTAGAACAATGATTCCCCAAAAAAAACACAATCGAAAATGACAAAATGAACGCTACACTTAAATAAAAAGCCTTCATCAGCATACAACATGCACAGACAGTAATACATCTTCATATAAGCTTACTTCAAAATAATTGTGCTTTTATGTAGTTGTATCATAGTCTACTGTTGAGCTACGGTGATGTAGTCGCTAGATGCTCACTAGCCACTCAAATTTCTTAAGTTCAATCAAATCTGCTCCCTCGAAGTCGGAGTACAGCTGCCCATGAGGCAGGGAACAAGAAAACGGTTGTACACGCAAAACTCAGGTCTAGGTAAAAGCCAAAAGTCCAAGGGGACGATTAACCGGAACCTTCCGCCGGAATTCACAGCCGGTGAATGAAGAAGAAGAAGAATCAAATCTGCATCAAGTTTTTTTTCTCCTACAAATTGATGATGTTGGCTTCCAGGTTGACCCAGCCTAAAATGGGGTACCAGATAATGTCCCTTGAAGTACAGGCAGCCTGTGTTATGCTGAGCGCACCCTTCCCCCCCCCCCCCCCCACCCCTTCCTCCTTCTAAGAACTGATGGGTCTTTAAAAATATGAGTCTAGTATCATATCCGAGGCACTACTGGCATAATAATTTATTTTTTTCAACTCTGATCGTCTAAGGTGTGCTGTGTGCTGATGCAGACTTTCTAGCTCAAACTTTTGTTTCTCATTGTTTTTTTGTTTTGTTTTTTGGGGAAGCTGACTCATTATACTTTTCATTTAGATTATGTCATGATATTTTTTAAGCGACACTACAGTCGGTGCCTGTGGCTTAGACGTTGCGAACACGCTTCGTAATGCCGGATTCGATCTTAGATGCGAACGATTTGTCTTGTGTTCGTTTCGACATTGGTACCGAGAGCTGGCCGTTAAGAAAGCAGCAGCAAACTGCTAAATGATAAATTTGCCTGGAAAAACGACAGTAGCTAAACAATGCTGGGGTTGGTTCTGCCATGGCCTGTAAAGGATAGGCTAACTTGTACTACAGTTTACTAATTTCAGTTCGTGCATAAAAAATATGTTGATTTGCAGCAGGATATGACTAGTTAAAATTATAAGAGAAGGTCTGCTAATAATACGAAGAGAAGTCAATAAGTAAGTCAGATGGTTATAGGATGGCAGGAAAATGTAGTTAGTGGTTTCTAAGGGTGTCATCCGGTGACAGCAACATCAATTTTTATGTCTCCATTTATTAGGTAGAGCAAGGTGTTTCATGCGCATTCACAACACAGTAACAAAATTGTGAGCGGACTGTCTTAGAACAGCGTGCTGTTGTGCGTTTTTTTTTTGGGGAGGGATTGGAGTGCGGGGGCAAAAGGGCTGCCTGCAAAGGGCAATCATTAGGAATTGCTTCCTGTTTATGCTTACAAATGTTTTTCTCGTAGAGTGAGTCATAGATGGGTAAAACAATTTTTCTCTCTAAATGCTCTAAAATTTTTGATAAAGTCTGATCTGGTTGTCCTGTTGAGATTTCAACAGATGCTTCCAAACAGCGGGGGGAGGAGATGATTAGAGGGAACAGGTGAGTAATGGTTGACTCCCTAGCAGCTGCAATAGAGTGTTCACATAGTTCAGCATACAACATAATGCATGATCAGTTGAAATTTAAGAAAGTGTTCTAAAGGTGGGCACCCAGACAAATGGCGTATGAACACAAGATGACCCGATTTAGGCCTGTCCTTGCAGCATCTCTGTCGATATGCAGATGAAAGAGAAAACATGCTGAACAGGATTATTACTGGGGACCATAGAGATAGCTGTTGCTTCTAGAGCACTAGCATGGGCAGCAGAGCAAACAGCCACAAATGCATTAATTGTATCAGACTCCATGAACATGCTTCAGAAGATTGCAACAGGCAATATGAGCTCTGAGTGGGTAGAAAGCATTTGAAAATCACACTTCACCTCCCTCACCTGGATCTACACACCTGGTCATGCCGGTGTAAAGGGTAATGTGCGAGTAATTCACCGACGGATGTGGGAAGAAGCATAGACAGATCAGATATTATCAACGCTGTACGAAATGGATTAGTGATTATTGACGAATCTCTGACACTAACACGATTACATGACATAAGAGTAAAACATGGTGAAGCACGTCTATGCCGCCGTCGAGGCCGAGATAGGAGACATTATAACTAAGCACTCATGGAAACAATTAGTAGACATACAGTGGAATGGCTGCTGCATCGGAGGACTGAGCACAAATGGGAATGTCCAATGTGCAGTTATGTCGATTGTGATAACATGCACCCTTGAATGCTCTCCACAAGCTTGCAGTAGGAAGATCCCAGGTATGGCCAGTTAGTATTCTGGTGGAAACCAAGCTGTATGGATAAGTGAAGGACATCATATCATAGCCTTCAAGGAGTCCCATCACAGCCTTCAGGGAGTCCCATCACAGCCTTCAGGGAGTCCCATCACAGCCTTCAGGGAGTCCCATCACAGCCTTCAGGGAGTCCCATCACAGCCTTCAGGGAGTCCCATCACAGCCCTCATTAAGTCCCATCACAGCCTTCAGGGAGTCCAATCATAGCCTTCAGGGAGTCCCATCACAGCCTTCAGGGAGTCCAATCACAGCCTTCAGGGAGTCACATCACAGCCTTCAGGGAGTCCAATCACAGCCTTCAGGGAGTCACATCACAGCCTTCAGGGAGTCCAATCACAGCCTTCAGGGAGTCACATCACAGCCTTCATGGAGTCCCATCACAGCCTTCAGGGAGTCCAATCACAGCCTTCAGGGAGTCCAATCACAGCCTTCATGGAGTCACATCACAGCCTTCAGGGATTCCCGTCACCGCCTTCAAGGAGTCCCATCACAGCCTTCAGGGAGTCCCGTCACAGCCTTCAGGGAGTCCCGTCACAGCCTTCAGGGAGTCCAATCGCAGCCTTCAGGGAGTCCAATCACAGCCTTCAGGGAGTCCAATCACAGCCTTCAGGGAGTCCAATTACAGCCTTCAGGGAGTCCCTTCACAGCCTTCAGGGAGTCCCGTCACAGCCTTCATGGATTCCTGTCACAACCTTCAGAGATTCCCATCACCGCCTTCAGGGATTCCCATCACCGCCTTCAGGAAGTACAAGATATTGAACTGAAAATTAACCATTATCCCACTTCATTAGACAGGTTAACCATTGACATGTATTGACATTATCTTTGTACTTCTCCTTCTTTTTCTTCTTCTTATTCTTCTTCTTACTCTTAAAGTACATGCCCTGTGGTGTTGGTAGTCATGTCTATCCAGAACCTTCTGTCTCGTCTACTTCCAGTCAACTCTGACCCTGATGATCCTCTATGCAATGATGTCAGACTGTCCAGCATCTTTTCTCTCGGCCTCCCTCTGTTTCTCCTCCCCTTCACCTTTCCTACTGTCACAATGTACTCCAGTTCTCTCCTTCTCATCACAAGATCAAAGAATAGACCAAAGAAACTAACAGTTACTTTGTACTATACAGCCTATATACTGGCAGGTCAAAAACTGTATACTCTAATATGTCATTTTCTTTTCAGCACATCATCAACTATTGAACTGTACAGTTTAAACCTTGATGAGGCCACCCTGGATATGCCACTGGTGACATCCGTTGCTTCTGATGCAAGGTAGGTTTTGACAAGAATTAGGTCCCCATGTGGATTCTGGGACCTCATTGTGGGGGACACAAAAATAGACCCACTGTCTACTCAAAAGCATGTCGTAAGAGTCAACTATTAGGAAGCTTTTTTTTTTTAGGTAGAAGTGCATCTACGTGAGAGGCAAGGAACCGACAGTCTGTATACAGTTAAGTCAGATCTGTAAAGCAAATACGCACACAAACACTCAGGTTCTTGAACAGGACTAGAGTCCAGAAGTGGACGAACAACCAGAACTTTCCTCCGGAGTTAACCTTTTCACCCCGGTAATGCTTAAAAAATAATGTGTCATGGGCCTGTGGGAATATTTAAAAAAAAAAACCTTAAAAAAAAGCATTTGTGAAACAAAATTTTGAATGTATTTACCTACCTTTTTTTTTTTTTACATTGTTGCTTTTAAATATATGGTTTGAGGTTTTGAACAACGGATCAACATCATGACACACGGGTAGTAACCCATAAGTGCTCTGTTCTTCTAACTCAAGTCTGAGTCCGAAGAAGCTCAGCACCGTGCACAGGCTCTGTAGCACCGGCGAGGATCCTGAAATACTTTAGGTAGATTTTTAACTCAAAATTTTGAACGGGCAGGGCTACTTTTCGATTTCCAACTGCCAGGTAATTTTTTTGTACATGCAAAAATGCACACGGGCGTCCGGTTTCACTACCCACACCAGGGATAATTACTAGAAGTCCTAGTCCACAGGAAAAATTTCCAGCCCTTACCGGGGATTAAACCCGGAATCTCTAGCACTTGAGGCGGACACCATTACTCGAGACCACGCAGCCCCCTTCTAAATATATAAAGGAAATAGTAAATAAACAAGAACAGCATGAAGCATTAAATGGAATACCTTCCCTGGTCCATAAAACCAATATATATTGAGTGACTCATGCTGTGACCCTTTGACCTCTATCACTGAGGCATATTGGAATTTTTTTTTAACCTAAACCTGGCTTTGAAAAAGCCATTGGGTCACAAGCACACACCTCTCTGAATGCCATATTTGGTTAATATATTCACATACAACCTCCTAAGCACTATGCAATTACAGATAGAACCAATGGCATTTAACTACACTTTTTGAGAATAGGTCACTGCACAAATGATGATATAATGGCATTTACGAGGCTGTTGCTGCTGGAAGTGACTAATTGACCTGTTCGAATGTGAGAGGGTTGAAGCATATAATATTATGTAACTGAAATTGCATGCTTTCAGTGTTGTTCTACCCACAGATTTCACAAAATTGTGTGGGGTCCGATGAAAGACACAGAAAGTGGGATGATCATAGGAGGCGCTGAGAATGGTGTTGTTCAAGTTTACAGTGCTGATGATATGCTGGCTGGCTCACAGGACTGTCTCAGTGCTGAACTCAAGAAGCACACTGGGGCCGTGAAGGCTTTGGATTTAAACCCCTTTCAGGTAGGGAGTTGGTGTAGCCGCTGTTGAAATGTAGAATAACTTAAATTACTGTCTGTATTTTTAGGCGCGGTGAGGAGGGTCATAAAAATAATTTATATGCAGTTTTGGTGAATTTCCCTTGAGTGCATTTTTTAGGGCTTCTGTTTGTCACTTTACAAAATGGCAAAGGTACACGTGAATTTCTACTCTGAATAGATCAAAATATAGTTCAGGTGACAGATAGAATTCTGGATAGAGTTAAAACTGATCTACTTTATAGAGCCAGTACTGATTTACTTTATGCAAGTGAATAATGGACAGTTAGTTTATTAGTTACAATTTACTGGGAGACTGCAGAGATGGGGTTTCATAGACAGTCAGGAGAATACCATGGACAGATAAACACTTGATGATGATATTTTTGAAAGCAATTTATTGATACAACAGCACACAGATCTTTACATCTCTCTAACAATTCTGTGGGGTAACTGGAAGAAGAGTAACTTAACCGATTATTCATATCAGGAAAAGGCATGGATATGGGGAGCTGCAAGAAATGAAGATTTCACCAAGGAGACAAGATGCCGGATTAATCAACACAGAACTGGTGTTGTCAGTTGTTGTATGCTTGTGGAGCTTTTGAGGAGATCAGAGCTCTTGTGAATCTCTCCAGTGTTGTGTTGATAATTCTCGCTAATCACTAGAAAAAGACGGGCCACATTCTATGAGCGCAGCTTGAGGAGGGGGAAAACTGGAGTACATTGTGTTCACGGGGAAATTTAATGGGAATAAGACCCCGAGGGAGACCAAGAGAGAAAATGTTGGACAGTTTACCGTCACAGCATGGGAGAATTTCTGTGTCAAGGAACCCATCACACATTAATTTATAATTAATTTAACTGTCTGCTAGTACCGAAAGAGCTAATGTGAGAATTTGTCTCTAATGATACAGGCAAATTTTGAATGCCTTGAATATCTGCCACCATAAACTATAGATTAATTAGGCATGTTTCTGAATCACACAGTAATTTTAGTCTTAGTGACAATATTTTATAATGCAAACAAAGTATAGCTGTGTCCCATCTCATCTGTTATATGCAGTTGGGACTCAGTTTAACTCCAGTAAGTCAGTACAGTTAAATGGGATAATTCAAAAAAGGTTAAAAAGTCAGACAAATGTGCGAACAACCACTGCTATTAGCAGTGATAAGATGAATAGAATGGTGCAGTTCTAGACACATCCTGAGAAAAGCAAGCAGAGAATCGCCAAACAAGCACTGGAATGGGAAACAAAGGGAATGAGGAACAAGGATGTCCAAGAGAAACCTTAAAACAGATGTTGAGGAGACAGGCTAAAGAACCTTTGACTGGATGTGATCCATGATATTGAAAGGATAGCACAGAATAGTCTGCGAGTCTTGTGGGGCATCGCAAGATGGTGATGATGCGAACAGGGATACATAACTTCAATTTTTTTTTTTTTTTATATATGCAATATGCATAATTTTCCTGATTTTTAAATGTCAAAGAATGTTTATGTTAGACATAAATCCAGAACATTCTTTGCCAATTGTTCCACAGCCCAATTTGCTGGCATCTGGAGCTACAGATTCAGAGATTTTTGTTTGGGATCTTCTTAAAACTGAAAGTCCAATGACACCAGGACAGAAATCACTTGTAAGTAAATGTCTGTACATTACATATATGATCATGTTGGGTGGTAATTATGTATTACATTATTTTCACTCTCTCTCTCTCTTCTCTCTCTCTTCTCTCTCTCTCTCTCTCTCTCTCTCTCTCTCTCTCTCTCTCTATATATATATATATATATATATATATATATATATATATATATATATATATATATATATATATATATATATATATATATACAATTTTAACATCCTTTTAGTTAAAAAATATAGGAAAAGTAAATACTGATACAGACATATGTTTAGTTGCATCATTTGTCACACCTGATTGCACTTGTGAGGCTGATATTGAGGATGAGCTGACACAAGAAGTGTGTTTATGGATAAAGACACCTCATTTGTGATGTGTAGACTTGTTTGAATTGAGGTCAGAACTGACCTTACAGCAGTCGTCAAGATATTCCCATAAACGCTTCATCGCCATCTGCAGCAGCCAGCACAGGGTTCCAAATCTGATTATACCAGCAGCAGCCTGTGTGTGTGTCCGTCCGTCTGGCCTTTTCTCTGAGTGTTGAGTGTTGGCCAGATCCCCTGGTCACTGTCTGCTGTGCCATTCTTGTCAGACCATGATGATCTGTTTCTGTTTCCACACTGATCAGTTGCTCCCAAAGGGCCATGACAGCATCTTGCTTGTCATGCAGCATTGTTGTGTTGTGCGGTTGTGTGTCACATCTGGATCACAGTCTATTCCGTTCCATCCTGTGCAGTCTCTTTGATATTATGAATGAGTCCAGTCCATCACCCTTGACCTCACTCATCAGTATTTATTTTAGGGTTTCTTCTGGAAGGGTTTCCTCCCTTCCTCAGTCTCTTGATTTCCAATTGTAGCGTTTTTTTTTTGTTTTTTTTTATTCTTTTCAGGATGTGTCCAGTATAGTGTCATCTTCTTTGTTTTACAACTGTTGTTACCAGTGGTTACCCAGAGTTTCCCCTATTTCTTCACTCCTTTTTACCGTATCCCATTTTAGTTGGTGTTTCAAATCACTTGCCATGCTCACAGTGAAAGTTGGCTGTTATGGATCTCCATTACGCTCTGTCTCTCATTTTGGTTGTACAATTTTATCAGACTGCTGTTCATCAATCTCTCAGTGTTGGCCTCCTGCTTGTGCCACTGTTTGTGTCTTGCTATTTTGCCTTTGACTTTTCCCTCCAGTATGGTTTTTAAAAAGAGTCATATCTTTTAGTGTGAACTGTATGTTAACAGAGTGGACCAGCTATCCCTACAAAAGCATGTCATAAAAGGCAGCTAATAAAGGGTTTGCTGAAATCAGATATGTTGGGCCAAAAGGTTTCAGATATCACAGTCTAGCTGTAAAAACCACAACACAAAGGGTCAGCTGCCCTTGTAAGAGCAACCGCAGATGAAGATGAAGTACATCATATTTTTTACTCAATTTTTTAAAAACTTTCGCTTGGAGGGGTTTGGCGTCTGGAAGGAGGTGCACTAGATGTGTCTGATGACAAAAGCGATCTTGGGGTTCCCTGCTCTAATTGTGGATTGCCTGTCTTGGCGCAGGCGGTTCTTGCTGGTAATGCTCACCACCGTCATGGGCTAAGATTCTCATGCATCTCCATAGCAAAGACGGAAGTTTGCAACAGCTAAACTTTCCTTAGCCTCTGACTGAAAATCATTCTGCACACCGTAGGTTGCTGACATCTGGTCAAACAATGCCCAGCTGATGTATGTGTGGAAAATGCTGCCGCAGTTTCTTTGTAAATAAACACATCACATTCTATGTCATTTTCTTGAGAAAAAAAATATATATTCACTGATGTTCTGAAACAGTGAATAAATAAAGTATTTGCTTGTCATTTGTTGGTCCTGGGTTGATAAATAAATGCCTTAAGGAAATTGATGAACATTAAATAGGGTGAATTAAAAAAAGGGGGGGGGGGGAATCGGAGAAATATCTGGGCAGCTGCAGGTGTCAACAGTTATAAAACAACAAAGTTGGCTTTGTATTATAATATGTTGTTCCCTTGTGGGGTGCAATTTTTGTTATTTTGAAGCACCACCCTGGCTTTTGCCGGGGGCCCTGAATTTAGCCAGGCCACAAATTTTGCCTAGCCATAGATATGGCCTAACGGCTGAAAGGGGTTTCTGGGACCTCGCCATGGGTGATCCTCATCTGCATGGTGGCACTTTGTGTCACTGGGTGTTTATCACTTGTGTGATGTCTGTCTTACATTTATTTGTAATTTCTTCTTCTTTTGCATTTGCCATAATAGGGCTGTTGGCCCATTATGTGGTGGTTTACAGCTGGGCTGTGGTATCTGCCTTTTGACCCAGCACCTCCATTTCAGCAAACTCTTATAAGTTGCCTTCTATGAACTACTTGTTTAGGGGAATGGGGTCTGTTCTTCCCCCTCCCTTTTACATTATCTCACTATGTCTCGACTCCAGCGACATGGGTGTAGTACAGTAGAGTCTGTCTGCCACAAAGAAGGAAAAAATAATCACAGACCACAATCAATTAAAGCATACCCAGAGACAGGTTGAACATGTTTAAACTGTTTTGTTTTATTTTAATGAACGTCACTGACTCACAGAACATGTTGAGAAAGGTGGAGACAGGCATGCTCCATGCAGAGTGGCAAGCATCACTTTAAAGGTCCCGGATAGTTAGCATCCTTTGGATTTTTTCTCCAGGTCATGCCTGTGTGTTGGGAAATGAGCAGGCAGATAAACTGGCCGCTTCTGCACCACTTAGTGGTGAACTGATATATGACAGGCTGGATGATGTGAGCGCCCTCTGGGAGCGAGTAAACAGTGCCGAGGAACAGACAGATCATTGTGGTCTGAGGAGAATGGTACTGCGAGGAGTTACAGGGGGATCTGGCCAACACTCGACACTCAGGGGAAAGGTGAGGCGGATATACAATCAGACAGTTACTGGTACCATCGGAATTTTAACTCTTTGCTTGCTGCTGAAGATGGGGGTGTCCCAAGTGCTGTGATGTTAATTATTAATTCAACATTCAACTGTAATGAACAAACAATAGAAGTCACCACTAGTTTGTCATCAATAATTCTCTCCATAACATGCCAGTGAACTGTTTTGTATACTTCTTTTGTTCCAGCCAGCTGAGGAAATAGCCTGTCTTGCCTGGAATCGCCAGGTCCAGTATATCCTTGGCTCCACATTTGCATCACGCTGTGTGGTGTGGGATTTGCGTAAAAATGAACCTATTATCAAAGTCAGTGACAGCATGTCTCGGGTAAGTTAGGAATGACTTTCTTGAATACAGCATCTTGCCAGATATTGACAGTTGTTTCAACAGTTATTGACAGTTGTTTCAACAGTTATTGACAGTTGTTTCAACAGTTATTGACAATTGTTTCAACAGTTATTGACAGTTGTTTCAACAGTTATTGACAGTTGTTTCAACAGTTATTGACAGTTGTTTCAACAGTTATTGACAGTTGTTTCAACAGTTATTGACAGTTGTTTCAACAGTTATTGACAATTGTTTCAGCAGTTATTGACAGTTGTTTCAACAGTTATTGACAGTTGTTTCAACAGTTATTGACAGTTGTTTTAACAGTTATTGACAGTTGTTTCAACAGTTATTGACAGTTGTTTCAACAGTTATTGACAGTTGTTTCAACAGTTATTGACAGTTGTTTCAACAGTTATTGACAGTTGTTTCAACAATTATTGACAGTTGTTTCAACAGTTATTGACAGTTGTTTCAACAGTAATTGATAGAGATTTGGACCATTATTTACACACTTTTGAACAGTTATTAAACAACATAGGCAGTTATTGATAAATATTTCAGAAGATATTTATAGACATTTGCATAGTTCTTGATAGGTTTCTAGACAGTTATTAATAAATATTTGAACACTTATTGGTAAATATTTAGTGATGTATATTTGTAGTGTAGTTATTGACAGACATTTTGGAGAGTGAGTAATGGCGAGATATCTAAACAGTTATTGATAAACCTTTTGGCAATTATTTAAGCACATCTGGACAGTTATTGATGGATCTTTGGGTAGTTGTTAACGGATGGTTGGACATTTTTATAAGACATCAGAAATTATTGACAGACATTGGTAGAATTAAACATCTAGACTAGCAGTTCCCAACCTTTTTGACTTTTGGAGCCTTTTTAGAATTAATTTCTATGGGGGAGCCTCTTAGGCCAACTGTGCCCTATGGCTTACAGGTTAACGGTGTTAGGAAGTACTGTTATGGGCGAGGGAAGGAGAGACATTCAGGAAATGTCTTTTTCTTCTTTCTTTTTTTCCCTCTACTCCTGGAATGCCTTGTGGCGTCAGGGGAGGAAGATATCTTTAGAACGGAACTTTCTGTTTGCTTCATATTTAGTACTTTTCAGTGTCTCTGATATTTATGTGGTCCATCTTCTGCATGGTCGACCTCTGGGTCTGTTACCGCTGTACCTGTATAACAATGCTCTTTTTGTGTAAGGTAATGGTAAAGTCAAAAATATCTAACCAGTTTTGCGGTTTTCATGCAATTTTCCTTGTAAATTATATTTTTCAAATTTAAATTTGTTCCTGGTTCAGCCATACGTAACCCTGGGAAGTGCACACAGAGCCTTTAGGACTTCCTGTAGCACTGGTTGTGAAATGGACAGGTGTTTTTGCAAAATCTGCACAGTGTGTTTTCTCAACTTATGACCAAGTTCCAGTGCAACAGACAGGTCAAAAGGGGAATTTATATTTATCAACACTTATTTTCTTTCAGATAGGTTATAAAAACTGTGTAAGTATAATTAGACCCTGCTGCATTCTAGGCATCAGCTCCTGAAATCTTTTGACTCTACCAATGTTATCTTTCTTTTATTACCTGTTTTTATTGACTAAATTGTTTTGGGGTCATAAGTGCAAATGGTCATAAGTTGCATGCATCGTAAATTGAGGAAAAGGTGTATTGGTAAATATCCGGACAGTTGTAAGACCAAAAATATGTTCACTTACAGATAAAAGCCAAACTTCTGGCCTGGCACCCTGAGGTGGCTACCCAGCTGTGCCTGTCATCAGAGGATGACCACACCCCTGTCATTCAAGTATGGGACTTGAGATACGCCACGTCACCGCTGAAAGTGCTGGAAAGTCACCAGAAGTGAGTATCATGAGAACATTGTATGGGGTATGTTGGTTATGTCGTTGTAACAGGCTGCTCAGTGCGGAGATTGGTGTGAGGTATTTTATCTTCTTCGTGTTTACCAACTGTAAATTCCAGTGGAAAGTTCTGGTTGTTTATCCACCTCTGGACTTTAGTCTTGTTCCAGAACCTGAGTGTTGCGTATACAACCATTTTACAGATTTGACTTATTTGCATGCAGATTGTTGGTTCATTGCTTCTCAGGCACATGAACTCCGACTTTGAAGGAAGCACCCACTTAGTCAACTCTTACGACATTGCCTGTTGGAGAGGCAGTGGGTCTGTTCTTGTTTTCCCTAATAGGGCCATGGAAACCAAACAAGGAGTGTTAGTTAGTTAGTTAGTTAGTTAGTTAGTTGGGTTATCCTCATTGCACTCCGGACATGTCCATAGGTGCTCAGATCCTCCCCTCAGTATGAACCCCAACGTCCGATGGCTAATAGTACCAGTTCTATGTTGATTAACAAGTCTTCTGGCGTAGCTGGTGTGCGTCTCATTTTTTGCTGTGCCGATCTTAATTCCCAAGTCTGCCATTCTGGCGAGTGATGTGGATTCACTGCCACCAAAGTCGTCTATCCTTCCCATTTCTCTGGGGGCATTGATAATATCAGCATGATCCATAGGCTGACCGTCGGTAGTTATAACGGATCCAGCCAACCTGTCAGCTCTTTCATTTCCATCGACGCCTGGTGTCCCGGAACAAAAATAAAGGTGACTCCACGGACAGTGGACTTCTGTAATGATTCAAGCCATTGTCTTCGCACTGAACCTGCCTGAACCCTCCGGATCATACTCATTGAATCACTGAGTATACACACGCGGGTGTATTTTTGTGTTTCAAGCCAGGCAAGCGCTTGTGTCACTGCCATCACCTCCATCGTCATGCTGCTGGTTGTCATGGAGAAGGCGCCGTTGGCTTCTTTGACTGTTCTGCCCGCTGAGCAAGGAGTGTTAGTGTGAGGTATTTAAAAACTCCCTGTGCGGACAAAAATTATGTTTGAGTACAAATTTGATAAATTTAAGAGGGGTGAAGAAATAAAAGAAATGTCTGGGTCATTGTAAGGGCTATTGCAGAAAAAGATAATAATTTCTACAGCTAAAGAAATATTTGGGCCTTTATTCTTACAGAGTGCGGCGTCCCCGTCTTAGGCGTTGAGAGTCCAACTTGTAATTCCAACGTACCGTGACCGAAACCCACTGCTGGCTGCGCGGAATTGTATCATGGTATGGGGCTTCGCAGGTCGACCCAGCCTAAAATGGGTACCAGGATGTATGTCCTGGGGAATTAAAGACGGCCGGCGTAATGCTGACCACATTACCCACCTAGTGCTGATTGGTCTAAAAAATATGGGTGCTTTTCCCATCTGCCAGATGCGCCTAAGGGCATGAAAAGGGGGATCTTTACTGTTACGGATTAGTTTGTTTTATTTAACTGTGAAGTTTGGTTTCTGAAGAGAAAATCATCAGATTTAATATTATGTGCTTTTCTTTCCAGAGGTGTATTGTCAATAGCTTGGTGTCAGCGAGACCCTGACTTGTTGCTGAGCTGTGGGAAAGATAGCAGAATTCTCTGTTGGAATCCAAACTCGAATGTTCCCAATGGAGAGGTAATAGATTAGTATACAGTGCAGTGGTGTCCTAGATTGTACAGTGAGTGATGTCTAAAATTGTACGGTGCAGTGATTTTTTTTATTGTTTTGTTCAGTGATGACTAATATTGTACAATGGAGTGATGTCCTAGATTGTTTAGTGCAGTGATGTCTAGTATTGTACAGTGCAGTGATATATTTGTTTAGTTCAGTGATGTCTAATATTGTACAGTGCAGTGATGTCTAATATTGTACAGTGCAGTGATGTCCTATATTATTTGTTTAGTGATATCTAAGATTGTACAGTGCAGTGATGTTTTTAATTGTTTAGCTCAATGATGTCTAATATTGTACAGTGGAGTGATGTCTTTACTTGTTTAGTTCAGTGATGTCTAATATTGTACAGTGCAATGATTTCCTAGATTGTTCAGTAATGTCTAATATTGTACAGTGCAGTAATGTCCAAGACTGTAGTAAACTAGTGATAAATTGCTGAGCTTATATTCTTCTTCTTTTCCTTTTCTCTGACAGTAGTTCTTAAAATGAGAAGGCCACAGATTTCTGTGAAAACTGGTATGACTCATGCCCTCTACTGATTCATCCAGCTTTATTTCCACTATAATGCTATCTGGAATCTCTCTGCTACATGCAGAACTTATAACTGCAGCTAATGTTCTATGTGGTGTCTGTTAACATGTGCACAATTCTGTGTCCTTGATCTTGGTTTTCTTGTCCATATGGCTTCGGGGGCTGTCGGATTTCAGTTTGCTGTGTAAATACACTGATCTTTTGCTTATTTTTAACAAAATGTGTACATGAGATATTTTACAGCATAACATCCTGGAGGAAGGCAAGGGGAAGACCAAGAAAGAGATGGATAAATGGTGTAACCGAAACCTGCAAAAAAGAGGAAAACATCCAACACCCAAGAAGCATAAAACAGATAAACAAAGCCATGACACTGGGCTACAACCTGGTATCGGTGAGATGACCAAAGAAGATCTTTTGCTTTTGTGTGCCGAGGTTGATGAAGTCTAGGATTGTGTTCAGAGTGGGAAATGTTTCAGTGGGTTCAGAAAGCTGTTGTGGTCATGATTTTAATTTCTGAACTTGAATGATTGCGGACAGACTGGCTAGCTCTGCACATCTTGGTGAAATACTGATGCATGATAAGGCAGACGTGGTTATGGCCTTGTGGGAGAGCGTGTAAAGTTGGGAAGAGCAGATGGATCATCACAGTCTGGTGAGATTGATGCAGAGGGGAGTGACGAGAGGTTCTGGCAAATGCTCGAGGCTCAAAGGAAAGCAAGACGGACGTTTAATCAAAATTCTACTGGCACCATTAGTATCGGAACTCTTTGCTGGCTGCTGAAGATGGGGACGGAGTGCTTATGGGAATTCCCCGAGTGCTGTAAATTTCGGTTCTTGAATCAAATCAAATCAACTTGGATGATTATGTGTTTTCTTTCTTTCTGCCCAGGTGGTGTATGACCTGTCAACCAACACCCAGTGGTGTTTTGATATCCAGTGGTGTTCTAGAAATCCAGCGATCATTTCCAGCGCATCATTTGATGGCCATATCACACTGTACTCACTGTTAGGAGGTGGCCATCCCATTCGTCCTAGCAATAAGGTAATGTCTTTTGATGTAACAGCAAGTTGATTATAGAGCTGAAATGTGGCGGTGAAGTTCATACTAGAGACAACATTGTAGATATAGATAATCTGTTTCAAACGAGCAAATGAAGAAGAAGATAGGTTAATTGGACATGTTAAGAGGAAAAATGAACTTAAACACTTGATGACAGCAGAGTTAGTAGAAGACATTAATAAATAGCTAGATCTTTTACCTTTCAAGATAAAGATATCATGCATCTGTGCATGCGTGTTATTGAGTATTCCTATCTGATTTTTTTTTCTGCTCTTTCTTTTTTTTTTTCTCTCTCTCTCTCTCTGTCTGTCTCTACTCTCTGAATCCTTTCACCCCCCCCCCCCCATAACACTCCTCCCTCCCTCCCCACATTCTATTATCCATTTTACTGTCTCTCTGCTCCCTAATATTTTTTCATGTTGTCTCTCTCCCACGCTTAATCTTTTTCAGTCACACTCTTTCTCTCTCCCACGCTTAATCTTTTTCAGTCACACTCTTTCTCTCTCCCACGCTTAATCTTTTTCAGTCACACTCTTTCTCTCTCCCACGCTTAATCTTTTTCAGTCACACTCTTTCTCTCTCCCACTCACTACTTTCTCATCTTGTTTTCTTTCTCTATTACCTAATCCTTTTTAAATTTTCTCTACTCCTACATTCCTTTCTCTTTCTGTTCCCTCAACATCCCCCATCCCCTTTTCTTTTTCTCTCCCTCTCTGAGCACGTAGATATTTTTAAAATATAAAATAGGAGTATAAAAACAGGACAGACAAGAAATATTGTTTTGTAATCTTTTTATGTCTTGGTTTTTTTAAACTAAAGTAAAAGTCACTTGTCCACACGTTCAGATGTTTTGGGCATATAAGGCTAGACCTTTATTTGATAGACCAGTTGGCACTCAGTGGGTGATGTGGTCAACATCACGCCGGCCGCCTTTACTTCCCAGGTTTATTGTGGTGGCCATTGAAAGCTAGGTCTACCTGGGAGCCGAGGTCATTTTTTAAAATAATAGTCTAGCTCCATTAGGAACTAAACCCACCACCTTCTGATCCACAGGCGAGTGTCTAGCTGCTACACCAGGGTGGCTCCCTCAATTTTATTAAGAAATATGAATTGTATTCTTTCATCCAACAGGTTGCAGATGCTTTTGGTGGTGATCAGTTCAGTTCTGCCCCAATTCAGGTTCCTCATGAAGAAGAAAAGGTTCTACCACTGCAAAAACCTCCCAAGTGGATTAGGAAACCTGTTGGTGCTTCATTTGCTGTAAGTGTTTCTGCTTATTTAGAGCCATCTCTATTTTCACTGGCAGTAGACTGGATTATGAAGACAGCAGCAGCTACAAGCAGCTAATGAATTCACCGAACCCCTACAGAAGAGTTTGATGAGCTAGACCAGGGCTATTCAACTGGCGGTTGTATTGTATTAATGATTTTTGTACGTTAAGGTTTAGCCCTCTGGCTCGTGTCGATCCTCATTTTCCAAATTTTGGCCCCTCAGTAAACTTAGTTGAATAGCCCTGAGCTAGACTTTGCTAATGACATGCGACTCTCAGCCCGCTCACGAAATCAGTTGCAGAGAATATAATGGAAGAATAGGAAACACAAACTTTACAGTCATCATCGAGACAGATTAATGTGTAAACTTATTCGAACAATTAGAGGTAGACAGTCACTATTTTTGGACATATGGGAAGGAAGAGACTCGAATTATTTAACAGCTGACTAGATTAATGGAAAGAGAGCAGGAACAAAGAAAAGAGATAAATACATGGATTGCCTGGTCAGATGGATGGGGAGAGACAAAATCGTGATTCTGATGATCTTCTGAGAAGGCAAACATAACAGCCTATGCTTCCTGGCACATGATGATGATGAGAGCAGTATAATTAGAACCCACAGGGGCATTGAAAAACAAAATATGAAGGGTGGAGCTAGAAAGAGAAGTTAAAAAGACAGGGAGGACATGGGGAGAGCTGCATGCAATAGCAAAAGTTTGAATGACTTGACGTGAGTTGGTTGAGGGTCTGTGCTGCAGGGGGGGGGGGGGGGGGGGGGGGGGGGGCTGAAGCGCAGAAAAGGAAGATGACTCCAGTAACCGACCGCATTAAAAAAAGAAACCAGTTGGTGCTTCATTTGCTTCAGTTTTTCTGCTTATTTAGAGAGATAAATATATACGTGTTGATCTATGCTCGGGATATAGAGGGTCAGAACCACACCTGATGCACCAGGACCAGAGTTTATACTGTTTGGACCTTTCTGCACCTCTCCATGGTCATCTTAGAAACAGGCTACAAGCTGGAGGTGTAAATAGGGCCGTGCACACAAAACTGAAGCTGTGGAAAAAACGAAAGTCAAGAAGTGAATAAACAACCAGGGCTATCCACCAGAGTTTACTACAGCTGGTGAACACTAAGAAGAAGAAGCTTACTGGCCGGTTCTGCACCACTTGGTGGTGAATCCATGTGCGACAAGCTAGATGTTGTGAGGGCCCTCTGGGAGCGAGTGAACAGTGCAGAAGTGCAAATAAATCATCATGGTCTGAGGAGAATAGGGCTGCGAGGAGTTGCCAATGGATCTGGCCGATGCTCAGCACTCATGGGAAAGGCGAGATGGATATACAATCAGACAGTTACTGGTGCCATCTGAATTGGAACTCTTTGTTTGCTGCTGAAGATGGGGATGGGGCGCTTATGGGAGTGTCCTGGGTGCTCTGATGTTGATTCTTAATTCAACATTCCTTGTCCATTATTGGCCTGATAGTATAAAGTAGAGATAAAGATGCTGTTAATCATTTACTGTTTTGCTGAGAGACACTTGGTTGTCTAAGCAGTGGGCCTGACTAGTAGATTGCAGCATTTGCCTTCTGTACTCGGTTTCTATATCTCTGTCGAGTCTGCCATCTTCTGTAAATATGCCTTCCTTATATTTGATATCTCATATTTCTTTGATTGTAATTAACATGAACTTTCATGTTTTTAATTAGTTAATACTTTTTTGTTTCAGTTTGGTGGTAAGTTGGTCAGTTTTGGTCTCGATAAGCCGACCCAGCCCCAGCAGCCGGTGCCCCGTACCGTCACCATCAGCCAGGTTGTAACAGAGACAGAGCTGGTTGTGCGATCCAACCAGCTGCAGCAGGCTATGAATTCAGGACAGTTCTCTGAATTCTGTGCAATGAAAGCTGCTAACAGCAATGATCTGATGCAGGAAAATATGTGGAACTTTATGAAGGTAAGTCAACCCTTTAAATCTCTTTGGTACTTGAAAATGTTTATGCTTATTTCACATTTTTTTTCTATGGCTTGGTCATTTGTTCTGATAATCCTTATTCTTTTATTCGTTGATAGTGACTTTGGCTGAAACTTTCATTTGTATTTGTGAGTGTCCATTTGTCTTTCCCTCCATTGAGCTAGCTAGTCAAAGTTTGTGTTGAATTATTGGATTATTGAATTATGAAAAATTGGCAGATGCTCGAGGCTCGAGGAAAGGCTATACAGACGTTTAATCAGAAAGCAACTGGCTATATTAGTATTGAAACTATTCACTGGCTGCTGAAGATGGGTACGGAGCGCTTATGGAAATGCCCTGAGGGCTGTGATGTCAGTTCTTGTATCAGCTCAACTCTGTTGAATTGCTCTCATGTGTTCCATTATCTGCTTCTTCTCTTGTCCTGTTATGACTTTCAGCATCAGATTTTGAAGAGCCATCCGGTGTGAGCCTTGGTATGTGCTATGAATATGCTGGTATTTACGGCCTCGGATATACCATCTATCCATCTCCTGCGTGATCAACCTCTAGTTCTGCTTCCATTATGTCTAAGTGAGAGGGCTCTGTTGTGCATTGTCTGATGGTAGTAGTCTTCATACATGTCCAAACTATTTGATTTCCATCTTCTTTTTAGCAGAAAGTTCTGGTTGTTCATCCACTTCTGGACTTTGGTCTTGTTCAAGAATTTGAGTTTTGTGTGTACATCTGTTTTACACATCTGTCTCCTTTGTTTGCAGACTGTTGGTTCCTCACCTCTCAGGCAGATGCAGTCTGACTTCAGACGAAACATCTTTATTTAGTCACCTTTTGCGACATACTTGTTAAGGGTTCAGTAGGTCTGTTCAGTGCCAAAGTGCAAGAGGCAGCTTTCAACCAGCACGGCTGTTTCTTGAAATGTGTGTTTATGTGTTGTGTGTGTGTATAAAATCTGTTTGAAGTGTGTATTGTATTTAAGTTTAAAAAAAACAAGATAAATGACCCATTTTACATCAACAGCGCATCAGGCATATGAAACTCGATTAATATTTGTGTAGACCAGTCGGCAGTCACTTGGTGATGTGGTTAAAATCACTTGGTTGCCTGTACTCCTCAGAGTACCTTGCACCCCGGTTGTTGTGTTTTTTTTTCTTTAAAGAAAAAAGGTGCCAGTACTCATTACAAAGTATGTGAAATAGGTGCTGCACTCACAATGAGCGTCTGTGTTTCAGTAGTGCTTTAATATCTATGCCTTTAAAAAAAGTGCCTGTACTGCGTACCACCATGCAAAAAAACCCTGCTTAGACTGGGAGTCAAGCGAAGTTTAAAAAAAAATCTACCATGAGGCGGATTCCAGTCCAAGATCTTCAGGCTGACAGATGAGCATCTAGCCAGTATGCAACAACTGCTCCCATATTTCAAGTGCTCATGTTGAAATAGATTGTTACACTAACTACATAACGTATTTCTGACAGGTCAATTTCGAAAGTGAACCTAGAACCAAATTTCTCCAGCTGCTGGGTTACGATCAGGCTGAATTAGCACGGAAGGTACATTTGCTGTTGAGTTTTGTTGTATTAGAGCTTATTCAGATAAATCTTATCTCATGATGTTTTGTTGTTAATAGAAGGAATTAAAAACAGAAGAAAACTGAAGAAAAGTATGTGAAACAGCATAAGAAGAAATTAAGAGAAGAGACTTCTACAAAGCCTGTAGCCTGTCATTTGCTCTATAGTATATATGTATAGTATTTATTTAGGCAAGGGGAATGCTGGGAAAATCTGATCTCGTTGCCATCAAAAGTCTAAATGTAATATTTAAGAGAGTCTGATTTTTCCATGCTGTAGAACGCAAGAATAAGAAACCAACACAGAACTGGTGTTGTCGGCTGTTACACACTGCGGGATTGACTGAGGGGGGGATCCAAGCACTTATGGGTGTATGTAAAACTATGGTTGGATGCACAGTGAGGATAATCTGTTGACTAACTAGCTAGCTAAGTTATAGTCACTTCTGGACTGGCTTGTCTGATGTTGCAGTGTGGATGGTGTTTCAGCTAACTTAATGTAAAGATGAGTACGTTAAGTGGATTTTTGCCTCACATTCAGGTTATAGAACACACAGGAACCGAGGTATCAGCGACTACAAGCCGTGGAATTGATGCCCAGGAGCTGGCACAGAAGATGTCTCTACTGAATGCTGGGGTAAGACTTATTCTTTCTTTCTGTTGTCAGTTTCTGCTTTATGCCGCTAGGCTTCACAGTTTTAACAGACGATAGGTAGCTGATATCAAAGGAATAAGATGGAGATGGTTTGGACATATTTGCAGAATGCCTCCTGACACTTCGGCAAGAACAGCTGTCCTGCAGATGGGGGAAAAAGAGAGTGGGCAACCTAAGGAAACCTGGAGAAAGACAGTAGAAAAGGAAATGGAGTGTAAACTGACATAGGATACCAGGGGCAGAAAAGCTGCAGACCAGCAACAATGAAGATCACTTGTGAATGCCTTGTGTATGAAGACTGACATGTAAAGATGGATTGATACAGACAGACAGACAAGATCATAATCATCGTCCTGTAACACTGCGTGTCGTTGGGTCACTATTTGCTGTTGACTGTCTGATCATCTCCCTCCACCTTTGATGGTCAGATGCAACACACTTCAAGATTGCATGCCTAAGGCCTGTCCAGTCAGTCAGGTTCTGAATCCAGGTCATTTTTAGTCTTCCTCTGCCCCCCTACTAAGCCCTATAGTATTGTTTTTGAGAGGCTGTTATTACATGTCCGTACCTTTGCATTTTCCATCTTTTCACTGAAGTTAAAAGGTCCATAGTTGCCAGTAATCAGTAATTTTACGGTGAACCTCACCATTTGTGATGTGGTCTCCATATATGTTCAGAATGTTTCTGAAAGATCTCATGTGTTTTTTTTTTTTTAGTTTAGCTGCTAAGGTTCTCATTTCACAGCCATATGTACACGTACTAATTACTAGTGCTGTGAGTAGACGTAGCTTAGTTTTACATGAAATATTTTTATTTATAGTCTCCATAATATTTGCTTTTTGGCAAGGACAGATGTTGTTTGGGCAATACTTTATATTTGTTGGGTTTTTTTTTTTCTGTTTCAGAGCACAGTAAAAACAGACAGGCTGACTGCCAGTGGTCGAGCATCCCCTAATGTTGGATCTAAAGTGAGAAAAACTTCTTGTCTAGAAATGACTCAGTGTATTAGTTTCAAGATGCTAAATTTGTAATATAATGTTATCTGTTAGTAAACAACTTATTTTAGTACAAGCCAAAACTGCAGATAAAAATCAAAAGCCATGTATGTACATTAATGTTTTTTTTTTAAGGAATTGTTTTTCTTTTTAAACAGTGCAGCTCTGCGGTCTACTTGGCTTTATAAGTGTGGGTAATTATCTTGGAATCATCAGGGAGGTCATGACGGAAAGGAAAATAAATCTGATCAGTACATTGCACAATTTATTGCCAGGCATATTTTGCTGTATCTTATCAGGCGCGTTACTACAGAGTTACATCAACTCAAGTGAATTATGCCTGGCAAAAAAAATTTGCAGTGTATTGTTTGTGTCTACATTATTTGAATTTCCTACAGGAAAACATTGTTTTGAGAACCTGCCATGGCCTAGAATTTGAAGGCCTAACACCCAGTATCTGCTGTGAGACTGCGTTTTTTATTTTTAAACCGTATCTGTAGTGCTTCTGTCATTGCAAGTTAGTAAAGCCAATCCTTGAGGCTGATGAAAACGTGAAACAGAGGATGTTTATCGTTATGATGTCCGGGTGGGGTAAGGTATCAGTCTGTCCGACCTGAGACTTGTGTTTTGGGGGCCTTTTATGAGAAGGAATCTTCTACGTTGCATTCATCAACTCTAAACTCTGGCAGAAAGTTGTGGTTGTTCGTCCACTTCTAGACTTTGATCTTGCTACAGAACTTTAGTTTTGTCTGCACATGCATTTTACAGATCTGGCTTATTTGTATGCAGACTGTTGGTTCCTTGTCTCAGGCAGATGCAGTCTGACTTTGATGGAAACCACTAATTAGTTGACTTTTACAACCTGCTTGTTAGGAAGGCAGTGGATGTGCCACCCCCCCCCCCCACCCACACACACACACACACACACACACACACAGTGCGGTCCCGGAGCCCACATGGGGATGGGATAACAGCATTCAACATTGGTGAGATTAATGGAATAAGAACGGGGAAAATAAAGGAAAATACCTAGTTGGTTTAGCAAAAAATGATGAGGGCACATGATGGTGATGATGGCAACAATTCTTGTTTACTTCATAAAATCACTTTTCTCCTTCGTCTTCTGCGTTGATCCGAAGATGTAATTTTGTGTCCGTTTACAGCATGGCTGTGATATTTGTACCTTTCGACCAATGCATCCGACTTCTGCGGGCATTTGTTGACCGGGTTAGCCTTCCCGGTAACCACTTTGAATTTATGTCTGTGTATTTTTGACAGTTTGTTTGCAGGCTATCGACAGTTAAACATTCTTTTTTCCCTCCTGTAACACAGACTCCCGTAGATCAGCTGGATGACCTGTCTGATGCATCTGCAGCCTTTGATGAGATCGCTGGATCTGGATCTGTGGGCAAGATGTCCGGGACTGAGACACCTTTAGTCATACCAACAGACAACGGTAAGTGAGTTAGACCACACACAGAAATACTAATACAGTTCTTCTTAACATGTCATGTCAGTGATCCTATCTATGTCGTCACTATACTACATACAATTCTTCTTATCATGTCAAGGATCCTATCTGGGTCGTCACGATGCCACATAAATTCTGATCATGTCAGTAATCCCATTTTGGTCGTCACGATGCCACATAAATTCTTCTTAGCCTGTCAGCGATCCTATCTAGGTTCTCACGATGCCGCATACAGTTCTTATCATCATGTCAGGGATTCTATCTGGGTCGTCACGATGCCGCATACAGTTCTTATCATCATGTCAGGGATTCTATCTGGGTCGTCACGATGCCACAACAGATATGTTAATAGTTGAAATCTTCAACTGCTCCTTAGTTGGTTTATGTTGGCACCTGCACATAATATTGGGAATAAAATAGTAAGTGAGAATCATTACAGCAGGGCTCTTGGAGAGAAGTTAATAAATTCTAGGAAATCAATCGCAGAGGAAAAGATGTTGATCCTGGATTGGGCACACATTGAAAAACCATCATAATATTCGAACTGGAATGTGTTTTCTCTGGAATCCACAGGGTAAAAAAAGCTTTCTTCTTTTAATTGCTTAAAATAAGTTGTCTGTGTATGTATGCCTCTCGTATAAATTTCCCTGTCATTTTTACCTCATTCGATGGTCCGTAAAGTTTACTTTTCACTGTTCTTTTTTTGTTTTGGCTAAAAGGTTTTCTTAATGTGTCATATTCGATACAGTCTTGGAGTATGTTCTTTGACATCTGTTACAGCTTTTCACACGGGCTCATGGCTGATACAGCAATTTAAGATTGTACATTCATGTGGCTGCATAGTTTGTTGTACCATGTTCTAAGGCCCCAAATAATGACTAGTTCTAGTCGGGCTACAGTTGAAGAAAGGGACCTAAAAACAGGGAGAAGATTACAGACAGAGATGAATGGTATGAAGAAGTCGTGGGAGACACTGCAGCAGATGGTCACAGATAGGACAGCTTGCTGCTGTTGTGATTCTGTATTCCAGAGTGGTGGGGGAGAAACTGACATCATAGCACTCAGGACATTATCATGAGTGCTCCATCCCTATCTTCAGCAGCAGGCACAGAGTTCCGGTCCCGATGGTACCAGTAACTGTCTGATTGTATATCTGTCAACCTTTCCCTGAGTGTTGGGTATCATTCAGATCCCCTTGTCGCTCCTCGCTGCACCATTTTCTTCAGACCATTGTGATCTATTTGTAATTCTGCACCTGTTCACCCGCTCCCAAAGGGCCCTTACAACATCCAGCCTTACAACAACTGAGCTTCTCATATATCAGTAATGCTTCAGAGGTCAAGGGTGAAGAGCATTTTTGAATTTTGTCTCCCGGTCATGCCAGTGTGTTGGTAAATGAATAGGCAGATAGATTAGCTGGCTGTACATAGCTTGGTGGAATATTGATGCATGATAAGGCAGATATGGTCAAGGCCTTATGAGAAAACATGTACAATTTGGAACAACAAATTGATCATCACAGTCTGGTGAGAATAATGCAGTGGGAAGTGACAAGGGGATCTGGCCAATACTCGACGCTCAGAGGAAAGGCAAAACGGATATATAATCAGACCGCTACTGGCACAATTAGTATTGGAACTGTGCGTTGGCTGCTGAAGATGGGGATGGAGCACTTTTTCGCCCCTATTGCTGTGATGTCAGTTCTTGAATCAGTTCAGTTCTTCTGCTTTTCTTCTGCCTTCTATCCCCAAATAGAACATGGCCCTCAAACAACTTACACCATGTCATACTGTGCTTTGCTATTGCATGAGTTGAGAGTTGGGTTGAGTTGAGTCAAGAATTGACATCACAGTGCTCAGGGCATTCCCATGCGTTCTCCATCTTTATATTCAGCAGCCAGCGCAGAGTTCCAGTACTGCTGATACCGGTCACAATCTGGTTATATGTCCATCTTGCCTTTTCTCTGAGTGTAGTGAGCTGGCCAGACCCTCTGGTTACACCCAGATGCCTCATTCTCTCCAGGCCATAATAATCTTCTTTTTCTATTGGTTCTGTTGCTTGTTCCCAAAGGGCCTTGACCACATCTGCCTTGTCGTGTATCATTTCACCACCCACTGGTCCAGATCCAGTCAGTCTGTTTGCCTGTTCATTACCCACTACGCCAGCATAGCCTGGAGAAAAGATCTAAAGTAGCATCTCTAGATCCCTTCTCCATATGTTAATGGTCTCAGTAATGCTACACGCTGTAAAATTGCTTCATAACACAGCAGCCTGACTTGTCTTCTTCAGCTGATGGTCTCATGACTCAGGCCATTCTGACCGGGAACTTTGAGGCGGCTGTCGAGATGTGCCTCAGTGAGAACAAGATGGCTGAGGCTATTATGCTGGCTATAGCTGGTGGTCCAGAACTGCTGATCAGGACACAGAAGAAATACTTCCAGAGAAACAAGTCCACCCTGGGAAGGGTAGGTACATTTTTAACATTTTGTTGTTTTTTTTAAACAAAGAAGACACAAACAGTTCTTCTTCTTCTATAGCATTCCAAGCCCTTGAGTTTCATTGCTGCAGATATCTCTCGCCTCCATTCATCTCTCTGGTTGGTATTCTCTTTCCAGTTGGTGACACCAAGTGTTTGCAGGTCTGCCTGGACATTATCTCTTCATTATCTTCTTGGTCTGCCTCGTGGTCTACGACCATTCATCTCCCTGGTGTATACAGTTTTTACTTCTTTGTCATCTGACATACTTTCCATATGCCCCAACCATTTCAGTCTATTAGCTCTCATGATGCCAGTTATCAAAGGTGATTTAAACAGATTATGAATTTTGTTGTTGCTTCTCGCTCTCCATTCCCCGCTGTTTGCATCTTTGATGGGTACACAAACAATAGATTATACAATATCCTGGCATAATCATTGTGCGTTTCGGAGGGAAAAGAATAGACATACTGCCTCCTAACAAGTGTACTATAAAAGGTGACCAAATAGGAGAGTTTCCTTCAGAGTGCATCTCCCTGAGAGACAGGAACCAGCCGACTGTACACAAATAAGCCAGATCTGTCAAACAGATTGTAATCCTCAAGTTCTGGAACAAGACCAAAAGCCAGAAGTGTATGGGCAGCCAGCGTTTTCTGCCAGAGTGTACAGCCGGTGAACACAAAGAAGAAGACCTGATCTCGTCAGGTGAATACTACAGTAACAAAAACAAGTCCCATGCCTTCACATAACACCGTTGTTTGGAAAGACGGAAAGGTACCAATAAGTTCATGACAATAACAGTCAGAATTACGGGCCATTGAGTTGGCCGTATGTGTCGATTCCTTTCACACCCACACACAAAATGGTTAACACATTCCATTTCTGCGGATAGCTTTTATTGAGTATCTTTTACAATCTTTACCTTTTTTTTTTCTTTTTTTTTAAAGCCGTTTCTTGTTATCTGATTATGAATAATTGAATTATCCTTTAGTCTGGTGTCATGATGCTGTGGTGACTAGTGTGCTTTTTGAGACGGTATTAAACAGTTACAGTTGTACGATTGTTTCTGAGAATTACAGGGGGGGGGGGGGGGGGGGGGGGGGGGGGGGGGGGGGGGGGGGGGAATTAGGGGGGGGGGGGTGTGGGGGGGGGGGGGGGGGGGGGGGGGGTGTGTGTAAAAGCCTTTGAAGTTTACTTGGAAATTACAGTAACCAAGCTATTGTCTTGTCTCTTCTGCCTTTCTAGCCCCCAGTGGAGCACAGGCCCTCAACCAACTCACGCCAAGTTGTTCTATCTGTTGCTATCGCATGCAGCTCTCCCCATGTCCTCCCCCTTTCTAACTTTATTCTCCAGCTCCCTCCATTGTTTTGTATCCTGACAGTATTGTTAAGGATGTCAAGCGTGTTAAGCATGTGGCACTGTAGTGCATATGAACACTGAGACCTCGTGACAGTTTAATGATGGTCTTCTCACTTTTAACTGACATCAAAGAAGAGCAGCGGTTTGGTATTCATTTATTTTTATTTATTTTTTATTTTTTGGTCAGTGAAGGGAGTGAAACCTGTAGAAATTCATTGGCGCATGAAGAACCAGAAGGTGATGCATGCCAGTCAGCCCAGAAAATGTGTGAGTGAAATAGGAAGTTTCAGACGGTGTAACTGTCATATTGACGTCACTGAGTTTGTCTGCTCATGTGCTTAGATCCTCAACAACTATATATTGAGAGGTTACAAGACATTGGCATGATTGTTGTAATTTCTATCACACTTTTATTTGAAGCCCCGTTTGTCCTGTGAAGGAAATGGGATGAGGAAGGGAACTGACAATTTTGTGCCCTTGTCATGGCCTGACATTAGCAGTTACTATTGTGTGGCTGCCTTAAGTTTCTTCTTTTTTTTTTTAAAGTTTTTAATGTGTTGGCAGACTTAATTGTGTGTTTAAAATTTGTTTAATTGTTACAGCTGATCTCTTGTGTTGTTACGCACGACTGGGGTCATATTGTGGAGACCTGTGACCTGGACAACTGGAAGGAAGCTCTTGCTGTAGTACTCACCTATGCTCTTCCAGAAGAGTTCTCACCTTTATGTGGTCAGTATGAGAAAAACACATTCACCATTGTGTCAGATAGATTAGGGCAAACCAAAACTGCATTTTACAGAATGAAGAATATTTTGTGCAATAAATCCATGTCATTAGAGGTTAGGAAACAATTCTCACTTGCTATATAGAGCCAGTTTCAACATACGGCTGTGAAGCCAGGAAATTAATAAACAAGCCAAACAGTATCTTGAGGCCGCTAAGATGTGGTTTTACAGAAGAATCCTTAGAATTCCTTGGACAGCTAAGAAGAGCAACCCAGATGTTTTGAAAGAGGCAAATGCTCGAAGACAACTTATCACAGACATCAGAAATGGACAGTCATCATTTTTTAGTCATGGTATAAGAAGAGGCAAAATGGAACATGTCGTGACCACTGAAAAGATCTGTGGAAAGAGAGAGAGAGAGGAAGGCAGCCTTTTGTTATTTTGTGAAGGGGTGTCAACACATGAACTGATAATGGAGTTGCAGATCGCAGATTGTGGAGAGGCATGATAACCCGAGACAGTCGGCAGGGCACTTGATGATGTTGATAATGTGTTATCAGGTGTGTAGTGATGTTTTGTGAATGGTTTTTTTTTTTTTAACTAACTTTATCTGTGTATTTGGGTGACACTGTGTGTTTGTGTATGTGTGTGTCTGAAAGAGAGAGAGAGAGAGTGTTATTTTGTTTTCATTGCTATGTAGTCAGTGACTCCAGAAATGTATAACCATTGAGAAATATGTTGCCAACAGCACATATGTATATAATGAAGCAACTCTATAAATAGGTTATTAATCATGTAGAGATTATTTCCACACAAACTTTATTCACAGTGGGTTTAAGACTGCTGGTCTGTGAGAATGAGACCCAGTAAACTAAATGACTTTACATTTTTAGTTTGTCCTGCAGTATACAGGTTAAATCTTCTTCTTCTTCTTCTTTGTTCACCGGCTGTGAATTCCGGCGGAAGGTCCCGGTTAATCGTCCGCTTTGACTTTTGGCTTTTACCTGGACCTGAGTTTTGCGTGTACAACCGTTTTGTTGTTCCCTGCCTCGCGGGCAGATGTACTCCGACTTCGAGGGAAACAGGTTACATCAAAAACTGTGATGTTTATATTAAAAATAAAAAGGAAAAACATACGGTAAATTGGCTTCACAGAATACAATCAAGTAAACAAAAAGACACCAGGTTGGTTCCGGGGCTTCCAAAGTTTAAAAAAAAAGAGATGGGGGGGGGGGATAGACCAACTGTCCCTAAATAAGCCTGCTGTAAAAGGTGAGTAATTAGAGATGTTTCCATCAGAGTCAGAATGCATCTACCTGAGAGGTGAGCAACCAGTAATCTGCATATAAATAAACTAGATCTGTAGACAGACAGACAGTGTATTGATTAACATTCATAGAAAGAAGGACACTGAGTTCTCCCTCTGTTTATTTAAGATCTGTTGAACAGATGTGCATGTAAAACATGGAACAGGACTAAAGTTCAGAAGTGGACAAACAACCAGAACTTCCAGCCGGAGTTTAAATGTGTTCTGTAAAGCCGTGGTTTTCTTTATGCTTTTCCAATTTATTTATTTTTACAAGCAGTGAAGATATTGATTAATTTTGATTTTTCCTTCCATAGACACTCTTGCCCAAAGATTGGAATCTGAGAGAAATGGAGCATTATCTTTGTATGCAAGTCTTTGCTATATCTGCTCTGGAAATGTGGAGAAGTTAGTGGAAAACTGGATACGCAATACGGAGGATCCCAACAGACCACTGGCTTTACAGGTAATATTGTGGAGATAGATTTTTGGATGTTTGCATCATACATCATTATCATCTCATTCTCTATTTTAGAGCTGATGTTCCCAGACTCAAAATAAATGACAGAGATATCAAAAGAGACCTGGGAATCACCTTCGACAGAATTTTGTTTTTTAGGGATCATATAGAGGGGGTTGTGACAAGAGCTCAAAAAGGTCTTAATGCACTAAAGATTACGGCAGCGATGGACGTGGAGCAGAGAATGCTCTTTACCCTTTACCAGCACTTAAATATCTCAGTTATTGATTATGGATTGAGGTTATTCACTGTCTCGAAGAGACAGCTAGAGAAACTGGAGCGCATAAAGAATAAAGCTATGCGGGTGATCCTGGGATGTACAAGAGACGCCCCGATTGTGTGCATGCGATAAACCTTGCATTGTCGACTATTGCAGATAGGCTAAAGGTGCTGCAGGCTAAGTTATTCCTCAGAGTAGCTGCAGACAGGAAACACCCTCTGTATGAAGCTTTGACTGCAGGTAAGGGTCAGAGGCTGAAAAGGGGAAAATTGTGGATGGCTCAAGCAGAAGACTCAATAAGACAAGTATGCATGTCGGAGAACATTGGGCAAGGAGAGAAATGGGTCAGAGTACCAGCGGGAAAGTCTGACCTGTGTAGGGTTATGATTACATTGGGACAGAAGTGCAGAGAGTGGCCTGCGGGTGCTAGAGAGGTAAAAATCCAACAGTTGATTCACAACAATTCACGCCCAGGTAATCTTATTATTTACACAGATGGTTCAGTGGTGAGAGGAAAGAGAAGTGCCTGGGGGTTCGTAGTGAAAGCCAGTAGAAAATCTTTAGTGCTAGACAGCCTAGCATATGACATCACAACATCTAGCATGAGAATGGAGGTGGAAGCGGTAACTGCAGCTCTCCCGTGGCTAGAAAACAATATGCATACACATGTCGTAATTGTAACAGACTGAAAGCATGCTAAGAAAGGTGAAGACAGGGATGCTTTGAGCTTCGCAACTAACTTTTTTACAGAAACTTGGTCAAAGTTACTAGTTTGCAAAATACTTTATCCTTTTAAAGTTAAGTTTATTTTGCAAAGATAATATTTAACATATGTGGTTGTAAAAATAATATCTATGTTACTGAATCTGATCTTGCTGGTTGGTAAACATTCTGTTGTCAGGATTTGGTGGAGAAAGTCATGATTCTGCGCAAAGCTGTGGAACTGTCACGTGGTTCTGCACCGGGTGTGAGCGGTGGAGTACTTGCTGACAAGCTGAGCGAGTACGCTGGCTTGCTTGCTGCTCAAGGAAGCATTGCCACTGCTTTGACCTACCTAAACAACACTTCAGATGTAAGTATATTGGTAGTTTAGTAGTTAAGACTGGCAGCAAACTATAAATCATGAAAACATTACAGTAATTTAGAGGGGAAAAAAACATGGCGGTAACATAATATGACTGCATTTAAAAGATTAAAGAATATGGATATGTGTTTAAAGCTGGGACAACATCACAGTCATCCTTTAAAGGGCCAACACAGACCACACACACACAAAAAAGATGAAGTTGTAAATAAACTTAAGAGTGAAACAATTTTATATAACAGTAGATAGAATCTAATCTTTATGTCTCTTCATTATTTGTACTCTTTGTCTTTCTGAATGCTAGGAAAAGCTAGCAATTCTGCAAGACCGCTTGTCTCGGGCCCTGGGCACTGCCGTACCAGGAGCACCAACTCCATTTGCAAAATTGAATATTTTACCTGAAGGGGCCAACCCAAATGTGGGTCAAGTTCAACAGCCACAAGTCACAAAAAATGTGCCAGCTTCCAGGAACACCTCGGTACAGCCAGGAGTACAACCAGTATACCAGGGGTACAATACAGCTGGAACCGCACAGGCAGCCTCCAACACAACCACCACCAACTATTACACACCGAATCAGTATAACTTTACACAGCCTGCAGCACCTATCAGCTCCCAGACTCCTGCTTACACACCCCAGCAGCCAGAAATTGCATCTACTACAGTTGCTTCTGCTCACAAAGGTAGGTCTGCGTTCATTATCATCATCATCTTCATCCTTTTGTGCTATTATATGTCATATAGAGCTCACAATCTATTCCTCCATTTAATTTTTTTCTCATGCAATCTTTTTGAAATCATTAATGGAATCCTTCCATCACCTTTGACCTTTCTCATCAATATTCTTAGTGTTTCACCCGATGTTTCCTATTTCAGGGTCTATTTTGTGATTCTTTGCTTTCTTCTCTTGATATGAATGAATCAAGAATTGACATCACTCGGGATAGTCCCACACTTGCTCTATCCCCTTCTTCAGCGGGGAAAAAAAGGTTGACATCTTCTCAAGATGTGCCCAGTATACCATCATCTTCTTTATCTTGTAACTGTTGATCAAATTGAGTCCCTGGAAATGTGGGTATACAGAAGAATAGGTCATATTTCATGGAAACAGTCCAATACAGAGGTTTAGGAAAGTCTACAGTTTAAAAAAGAATTACTAAAATAAATTTAAAAAAAGAGACAATTGAAATACTTTGGCCACTTTTAAAGATATAACACGCTTTTAAAAACCATACTGGAGAGAAAGGTCAAAGGCAAGAGGTGGGCAATGATACAACTGGGAGGACAACATCAGCAGATGGACAGGCAGCAGTCTGAGAGAGTGCACCACCAGGACAAGAGACAGAGTGTTGGAGATCAATTCTAGCCAACCTTCACTATGGAGACGACACCTGATTGATTGATTGAACTGTTGATACAAATGGTTGTCCAGAAATGTATCTTATTTCTTCACGTTTTTTAGATTCATCCTATTTAAAGTGAGAGTTAAAAAGGCTAAAGTAGAGGGGATGGACTTCATTGCACCGGGTTTCTTCTGTATGGCTTGTTCCGTTTCCGCAGAACAGCTAGGCGCCTGCCAAAAGTGTTGCACATAGCACGAACACAGCAGTTCTGGTGACAGATCCAAGGGGTCTCTGTAAAAATTGCACCCATGAACCAACCAAAGCAGCTGTGAAACAAACCCATAATCTTGGGAACTTGAAGCAAGCAGCTTGACAACTTTGCCATGTTGAACCATAGACTATTTTTTTTTTACCGTGCGCAATTTTAGGTCATGTTGCATGGACTTTTACAGTTGGCTTGGGCTTTCAGGTTACATAGCCTTAATTCAACATGGATTTCAGAGCGCATTTTCAAATTTACTAGCAACCTCAATAGAAGAAGTTAAGTCCAGAGGATCTGCTTCTTTCCCTCAGATTATCCCATCTGGCGCAGTCACTGTCTGATCCACGGCTAGCCGGCTGCCAAGAGCATCCCACAAAGTACAAATTCCATAGTTTCAACATCAGTCTCCAAGGGTCTCTGTAACTATTACACTTGTGAACACATAAAATGAACCCGCAGCTTTCAGGTGGACAATTGACCACTTTACCAAGGAGACCCCCAATAGTTCTGGTTGTTCATCCACTTCTGGACTTTGGTCTAGTTCCAGAACTTTTGTTTCGTTACATGCATGGCCATTTTACAGACCTGGCTTGTTTGTATGCAGACCGTTTGTGTTCTTACCTCTCAGGTTATTATTTCCTTACATCTTAGGGAAACACACTTATTTCAAAGGGAACACTTTTAATTAAATGCCTTTTGTGAGATACTTCCCCCAATCCCTAAATTGGGCCCCCTGAACCCACATAGGGTATAACACAATCAATAAAACACCATTATCTGCAAAGACAGAAAGCTACCAACAACTAACTAGAAGCTAATGGAATTGTTCCAGATAATTTGATCTTTTGTTTCTGTTTCTCCTACAGGTTTGTCTCACAAGTACCCCCACAACCCTGCATCACTATCTGCCGATGTTTCTGTTTCTCCTACAGGTTTGTCTCACAAGTACCCCCACAACCCTGCATCACTATCTGCCGATGTTTCTGTTTCTCCTACAGGTTTGTCTCACGAGTACCCCCACAACCCTGCATCACTATCTGCCTATGTTTCTGTTTCTCCTACAGGTTTGTCTCACAAGTACCCCCACAACCCTGCATCACTATCTGCCGATGTTTCTGTTTCTCCTACAGGTTTGTCTCACGAGTACCCCCACAACCCTGCATCACTATCTGCCTATGTTTCTGTTTCTCCTACAGGTTTGTCTCACAAGTACCCCCACAACCCTGCATCACTATCTGCCTATGTTTCTGTTTCTCCTGCAGGTTTGTCTCACAAGTACCCCCACAACCCTGCATCACTATCTGCCGATGTTTCTGTTTCTCCTACAGGTTTGTCTCACGAGTACCCCCACAACCCTGCATCACTATCTGCCTATGTTTCTGTTTCTCCTGCAGGTTTGTCTCACGAGTACCCCCACAACCCTGCATCACTATCTGCCGATGTTTCTGTTTCTCCTACAGGTTTGTCTCACGAGTACCCCCACAACCCTGCATCACTATCTGCCTATGTTTCTGTTTCTCCTACAGGTTTGTCTCACAAGTACCCCCACAACCCTGCATCACTATCTGCCTATGTTTCTGTTTCTCCTGCAGGTTTGTCTCACAAGTACCCCCACAACCCTGCATCACTATCTGCCGATGTTTCTGTTTCTCCTACAGGTTTGTCTCACGAGTACCCCCACAACCCTGCATCACTATCTGCCTATGTTTCTGTTTCTCCTGCAGGTTTGTCTCACGAGTACCCCCACAACCCTGCATCACTATCTGCCGATGTTTCTGTTTCTCCTACAGGTTTGTCTTACAAGTACCCCCACAACCCTGCATCACTATCTGCGTATGTTTCTGTTTCTCCTACAGGTTTGTCTTACAAGTACCCCCACAACCCTGCATCACTATCTGCCGATGTTTCTGTTTCTCCTACAGGTTTGTCTCACGAGTACCCCCACAACCCTGCATCACTATCTGCCTATGTTTCTGTTTCTCCTACAGGTTTGTCTCACAAGTACCCCCACAACCCTGCATCACTATCTGCCTATGTTTCTGTTTCTCCTGCAGGTTTGTCTCACAAGTACCCCCACAACCCTGCATCACTATCTGCCTATGTTTCTGTTTCTCCTGCAGGTTTGTCTCACGAGTACCCCCACAACCCTGCATCACTATCTGCCGATGTTTCTGTTTCTCCTACAGGTTTGTCTCACAAGTACCCCCACAACCCTGCATCACTATCTGCGTATGTTTCTGTTTCTCCTACAGGTTTGTCTCACGAGTACCCCCACAACCCTGCATCACTATCTGCCTATGTTTCTGTTTCTCCTACAGGTTTGTCTCACGAGTACCCCCACAACCCTGCATCACTATCTGCCTATGTTTCTGTTTCTCCTACAGGTTTGTCTCACAAGTACCCCCACAACCCTGCATCACTATCTGCCTATGTTTCTGTTTCTCCTGCAGGTTTGTCTCACAAGTACCCCCACAACCCTGCATCACTATCTGCCTATGTTTCTGTTTCTCCTGCAGGTTTGTCTCACAAGTACCCCCACAACCCTGCATCACTATCTGCCTATGGAGTTGACACCTACTCTGGACAAAACTACATTCAGCCTGGCTACACACAGCAACCTTCGTATGGGAATCAGCAACAATCCTATTACAGGTTGGTACTGTGTAAAATATGTACAATCATAGTGGTTAGTATCCTTAGTGAAGTTTCTAAGAAAGTAATTTTTAAAGATTTGTTCGTGGTGAAAGGATTAAGGATAATTTCTTTGAGTGTCAGGATTTGCTTTGGAAGCCACCATACATTTTGAAGAAACAAAAATCTGTGATTCAAACCCAGAACCTTTTGGCGGGCAGGCGAGCATCTAGCTACTATACTGCCATGACTCAAAACAATTTGAAACAAACTAACAATAGTTAACATAATTTTCTTCCTCTGTGAGTTCTAGGGCGTTTTGTGGGGAGGGGGGGGGGGGGGGGGGGGGCACTCCCGCCCCTAACAAGCATGTCATTAAAGTCTACTAATGAGGGGTGTTTCCTTCGAAGTCAGAGTGCATCTGCCTGAGAGGCGAGGAATCAACAGTCTGCATAGAAATAAGCCAAATCTGTAAAGTGGATGTGCACACAGGACTCAAGCTCTGGAACAAGACTAAAGTTCCAAAGTGGACAAACAACCAGAACTTTGCACGAGAGTTCACATTTACAGCCAGTAAACACAAAGAAGAAGAAGAAGTAACCATTTATTTGTATCCAGTTATAATTTGTTGTTGTTGTTGTTGCTTATGTTTTCCCACCTGTTAATTAACCATCCTGTACCATATTTCTCTGGCAGTCCAAATGCTTTGTCTTCATCAAACGCCCAGCAGAGCTACTATAACCCTGTGAGTGCTGCTAGTCCTGCAGTGAACCCCTACACACCCAGCCCACCGGTACCTCAGCCAGGCCCAGCCATGTATTCTTATCAAGACAAGCAAGCAGAGACAGCCTGGAATGATCCTCCACTAGTTCAGGAGAAACCCAAACCTGCCCAGACCACAGCTGTAAGTTGTTTTGTTTGTTCGTTTGTTTGTTTATTTGCAGTCACCGGCTGTAAACTTGCCAGTTATGGTTGTTCATAGATTTATGGGTATCGGCTTTGTTCTAGGACTTAAGTTTTGTTTGGACGCAATATGTTCTTTCCTTGCATCATCATACAGATGCTCTTCTTCCTCTTCTTCTTGTTCTTTGTTCACTGGCTGTAAGCTCCGGCGGAAGGTCCTACTTCGTTCATTTGGACTGTGCCATTGTACCAGGGCCTGAATTTTTGCATGTGCATCCATTTTACTGGCTTCTTTTAGTGCAGTCGGTTGTTCCGCGCCGCTCTGGCAGATTCACTCTGACTTCAAAGAAAGGTCCCAATTAGTTGACTCCTACTATTTGCTTGTTGGGAAGGCAGTGGGTCTGTTCTTGTTTTCCCCACAATGGGGCCCTGGAACCCATATGGGGAGAAATGCAGATGCAGTCTGACCTTTGAAATAATAGCTGTAAGTAGTTGCTGTTGTTGTTGGAGGGAGATGTAAAAGACTTTTATATTGTTTCATTAGCCTTTGCATGTTGATAGTCATCATCATCATTGTGTAGCAATGCCTTTCAAAGCGTCACCCTCATCACAGCATGCTTTCTGGCCCCTTCAATTAGTTACTGAAGTAATTTATCACAGAATTATTTGTTACTTTAGCACTTAACCACAAGAATGATTGGTTACTATTATCAGCAGTTTACCACAAGAATCATTTGTTTCATTCAGCAGTTTACCACAAGAATCATTTGTTTCATTTAGCAGTTTACCACAAGAATCATTTGTTTCATTTAGCAGTTTACCACAAGAATCATTTGTTTCATTTAGCAGTTTACCACAAGAATCATTTGTTTCATTTAGCAGTTTACCACAAGAATCATTTGTTCCATTTAGCAGTTTACCACAAGAATCATTTGTTTCATTTAGCAGTTTACCACAAGAATCATTTGTTCCATTTAGCAGTTTACCACAAGAATCATTTGTTTCATTTAGCAGTTTACCACAAGAATCATTTGTTCCATTTAGCAGTTTACCACAAGAATCATTTGTTTCATTTAGCAGTTTATTACAAAAATAATTTACTACTTTGAGCATTTTACCTCAGACACCATTTGTTATTTTTTAAACCAAATCAGAAGTGGTTTACTTCCAGACCAAAATGTATTTCTAACAAAATATCATAACCAGTTCCAGATGGTTCTGTCTAGCATGGCATTTGTTTGATTCAACAGTTCAACAGCCCAGTCCACAACTTGTTCACACCACAACAGCCTCACTCAGATCACGGACCTCCCGGGGGCCCTCTGTATGCCGGACTGTACAACCCTGCTGAACACCAATCTACCCCACAGGTAGCTGTAAGTATTTGTCTGTTATCCTTGGTTTTGTTTGTTATTGTTGTTGTTTTTTGTCTTTCCATTTTCATTTGGTTTTAGAATTTGTGTATACCACAAGAACCGGTACTGATCTTTTTGATTAAGCAAGCACTTTTATGCAGTAAAGAACATTAGGCATATAGGTAAAAGTAATAAAAAGTAAAGATCTTTTTAGGCACATAGGGCATATGGGAAGCGTGCCCGTATTTTTACATACCATCAGCAGTAGGTGGGTAATGTGGTCAGCATTACGCCTACCATCTTTACTTCCCCAAGACAGATGCTGGTACCCATTTTAGGCTGGGTCGACCTGCGACGGCCCACACCATGATAAAAATCCATTCAGCCAGCAGTGGGTTTCGATCACGGTATGTTGGAATGACGTTTCGGATTCGCAACGCCTAAGTCACAGACACCACAGGCATATAGGGCTAGACCTATATTTTATAGACCTGTCGGTACTCGATAGATGGTCAACATCATGCCGGCCGTCTTTGCTTCCCAGGACTTTACCTGGTACCCTTTTAAGGCTGCGTCGACCTGGGAGCCAAAGTCAGTTTTGAAGAAGAAACAAAGTCTGGCTCCATTTGGGCCTGAACCCACGACCTTCTGATCCACAGGCAAGCATCTGGGAGCTACACCACAGCGGCTCCCACTTTAATGCATTGCCATATTTAAACTAGTGGTTCATTTGATTGTTCAGACAGCATCCCCTTACCAAGTTATATCACTGATGTGTAATACACAAACACTTTCATGCACACATACACACACATGCATGCACACAACCACATTCATGCACACACACATACATGCATGCATCCACACACACACACACACACATATACGCACACACATCATATATACTGTCCTGGTACTGAGTATCCTGCAAAATGAACACCTCCCACCCCCCTGGATCTGTAAACCACCTGTTTCAGGAAACAGATTGTTCAGCATGAGCATGTTATCAACGGCTTGACTAATACTAAAGTATCACATGTGTATATAGCACATTTTACATTTATGGGGGGGGGGGGGGGGGGGGGGGATTTGCACGTATGTGTGCGCATATTAACTACTAACATTACAAAGTTTTTGTGTGCTCTCCCTTGTATTCGTTTGTAGATGGCTTTGAGGTTACTCACTGCAAGAACGTATTGTAACTTGCTAGTGCACTGTCAGGTGATAGTTTCTGTTTCAACAGTTTTTGTCATGCCAACTCTTGGGGGTAGTTTAGCTGTTAGGACTGCTTAATTGTCTGTTTATTAGTTTAATGTTAATTCTTTTGTATCACCTGTAGTATTAAAGTAAAGGTCCCTTTTCTACACTTTAGGCGTATAGGGCAAGACCTATATATTTTTATACTAATCGCACAAGATGGGTGATGTGGTCAGCATCACGCCAGCCGCCTTTACTTCCCGGTACCGACTCAAGGCTGTGTCGACCTGGGAGTAAAGGTTATTTTTTTTAAAAGTTTGGCTCTGCCAGGGAGCGAACCCATGACCTTCTGATCGCACGTGAGTGTCTAGCCGCTACACCACAGCGACTCCCAATCTATAGTACTAGTGTAATTAAATATAGTAGTAGTAGTAAATATAACCCAAAGTAGTGGTGATTCTCAATACAGAATCTTGATATATGAAAGATATCTGTAACTAGATAATTCATCATCTGTTTAAATCATCACTGATTGCTATCACTGTGAAAGCTAATAGACTCCACTGGTTAGGGAATATAAAGAGAATGACAGAGTGGCAAACAACTGTCTACATATATAAGAGTTGAACGGGGGTAGGGCACGAGGCAGACTAAGATGTTAGGGAGAATATAATATTCAGGGAGAACTACAAACAGTTGGGCTCAACAGCAGGAAGGAGAAGGCCATTCACAGAGAGGAACGAAGGCATGTGATAGTTGCAGTAATAAAGCTCAAGGGTTTGGAACTCTAAAGAAGATTTATCACTGACAAACATATAAATGTTAATTGTCAGCCATGTGGTTTTCAAAGTTATTACCAGAGCTTTTCTTTTTCTTGTGGTACGCAGCAGTACTCAGTACCAGCACCTTTTTTTTTTTTTTAAGGGCATCATTTTTTTTAGTGCTACTGTCATAGACACTTTGTGGTTTTTATGGGCACTTTTATAAGACTGTGGTGAGTACCGGCACCTTTTTGCTTCTAGGGGGGAAAAGCCCTAGCTTTACCATATATATTCTAGGGCCTATAGATTACACTGTTAAATTTCTGTTGAGATTGAGTTTTTATTTTCTTGTTTCACTGAAATAATTATAATATGGTTTAGCAAATTATTTATAGATATGTGTATTTGTATATATGTGTATGTGCATACATACAAACACACACATGTACACACACGTGTGCGCACAAATACATACGCAAGCCTCTACCCAAATGCAGTTTCTGATATTTAAAAATGGACGTAACATATATTCCAGTGCTTGGACATGTAGTTCCGTTAATTTCTGTCACATGCATTTACTTAATTTTCACTTTAAATTTTGAGTTTATTTAATTTACACTTGTAGATTTATAATTGAATTTCATCGATTACGTATACACACACACACATACATTTAGATCATATGTAGATTATAAAGTAGATGATATGTATATACACACATTTGTGCACAATCGCAGTTTTTGATATTAAAAAATATACTTATTTTCCAAAACCTCAGTAGTTCAGTTCAGGAGCTTTAACCCTTTCGCTGCTGCGCCCTCCGCCAGCCAACGTAACCACTGTGCTAAGACTGGCGAGAGCTAATCTTTCCCCCTGTGCTGAATACCGTTTTTTCCTTCAAAAGCAGAAGACGCGCCTGCGGCACGGGGTAAAAATTGTACACCTAAAATAAAAAATCGTTGAAGGCGTGTGGTTGAACTTTGCTCTGACAAGTCAGACGCGCTATAACTACGCCGTGAAAACTCATTAACAAAAAGAAAACACTACAAACTTACAAAGCAAACACAAAACACTTTCGTAAGCAAATACATGGTTTTTATTATTATTAATATCTTTGTGTGTGAAATATTTAAAAACAAGGTGCGACACACAATGCCAAATCACAGTCCTTTCACATGTATCTGGTTTTCCGTCGTTTTTTGCTTTTTGCGCATACCACACACTTTCTGGTTGGGAATTTTTTCTGCGATGTTACAGACTCTGTTATTGAAGTGAAATGCCTTTGTACTAAACGAAGTGGCAGATCTTCACTTTTTTGTTCTCCTACACTTTTTCTCTTTTCCTTGCAATATTTATGTAGAATTTCTCTTACTAACTTTAAGTGAAATTCGGCAACAGGTGTGTTTTTCACCACAACAACTTTATATAATGAATGTGCACAGTACACCAACCACGCTTCACATAACGTGTAAAGCATCTAAATCCACCTGAACGCACGTGACAGGGTGTTTAATTAATTATTACTTTGGTTATCTGTTGCCGAAAATGCTAAAATTTAAAATTTGCATTTAAAATAATTAATTTTTTTTTAAAAACGGCACGTAGGGGTTGAACGCTGGACCTTTCAATTGTAAGGCAGACGTGATACCAACTACACTAGAAATTCACATGAAACTATGAACTGAAAAAAAGACCAGTATTGTACACTTTAATAGACAAACACATTTATGTCAGTTGTATAGTATATAATTAACATTAATATTAATCATCACGTCAGTACGTGACCATATCTTTTTTTTGATAATTTTGGATCCGTTTCAAATCCAGTCGATGTAGATAGCTAGGTCATATGGTCACTGGTCAGTCTTGTTCACAGCCAGAAGTACACGTGTCCGCCGGCGTGCCGCGAAAATAACCCAGCTCATATAACTCACACGTTTCAAAGTGATCCTTACTACTACTCCTTGAAAGAAACTCAATTAATTCTTCTTTATTTAAACAAATGTTCTTGTTATTTTGTATTTAAAAAAAAAAAAAATTAGACTAACGCAAAACCAGAAATATATTTCAGGGCAAAAAAATTACCGATCACCGACAATGCTTCTATGGTAACAAAGAAACAGGATAACGTGAAATGCATCTAAATACGCCTAAACTCACTTGATAAGGGTTTTAATTATATGTAAACGGGTCATTTTGATCAGATTAAGTTAATGTGTATTGCTATTTCACCCCTAAGAATTACTGTCCTTAGCAATCTGTAAAAAAATGTCCAGAACGAGATATCTCGTCCTTAGCAGTGAGGGCACAGAAAATTGCAGCCGAGTTATCTCGTCTTTAGCAGTCTGCCGGGCAGACGAGTTATCTCGTCCATAGCAGCGAAAGGGTTAAGAACACAGATTTTTCTGTCTAACCTGTCCGCCAACTTTTTTCTCTACAGTTCTGTTACATAATATCTTCTTATAAGCAAACCCCGCCCCCTTCCCACTGTCCTCTATGATCTTAACCTCAGCAGCCCTACTCCAGCCCTGCCTACGGGGGTTACAACCAGCCCACCATGACACCGCAGGTCAGCACACCGGTACAGCCAAAGGTACAGTAGTATTCTCAGTTCTACTCATTGCATGCCATGTTTCCAGTTGCAGAGTAAGTGGTATATTTTTCTGGATGTGGGTAAAATAGGTATTTGATAAATTAAGTCTGATAAAGTAAGTCTGTGTTTAACCATTTCACCCAGAGAAACCCAGAAACTAACTCTTCCAGTTAGGTCGGATTCCCTGTAACTGTCACTTGTCTGACTTGCTTGAAGTGACCTGTGGTGTGACCACATTCCCTAAAAAAAATATCAGTTAAGGGTGTTTTCCTTTAAACCAAATAGCTTTTTAAAAGCTAAGTTGCCATCAAATTTTACTTTAGTCTGAATTATAGGGGTTACTGGGTCATGACAAAAGTCACCTGATACATATGGGCTTTTTTTGTTTTCAGGCCCAATGGAATATATTCCATTTAATGCATCACCTTGTTTATGTTTGTCAATTTCCCCCTTCATATTTCTTCAACTCCCACAAAATATAAATAATGAAATTTAAAAATGTTTAGTGACCTATATAGCATCATTTCTATTTCTAGGATTTTGAAGAGAAAAAAAGAAATTTCAACAGGCTCATTGCCCTTCCTTTTTTTTTTTAGCGTTACCAGGGTGAAAGGGTTAAGGGCATGTAAAAATATACATTACCTGGCATTTTCATTATTTATTAACCTAGAATACTTACTGCCTTCTAATATAGCCTTAGTCATTATATTATTGGGCTTGCTGCTACTCAACAGTATAGTCTTGCTGTTGTAGTTGTTTGTGCACTGGCATGCTAATACAGTCATCCCTGGTTCGGTCCTCAGTGTTAGGTTTACAGTGATGGGATTACTCGTACTGTCTCAGGCAGCCGTTATTGCCACATTAATATTAAGTTATTACACTGAGAGGATTATTCATGTTGTCTCAGGCAGCCGTTATTGTCACATAAATATTAAGTTATTACAGTGAGAGGATTATTCATGTTGTCTCAGGCAGCAGTTATTGCCACATTAATATTAAGTTATTACAGTGAGAGGATTATTCATGTTGTCTCAGGCAGCAGTTATTGCCACATTAATATTAAGTTATTACAGTGAGAGGATTATTCATGTTTTCTCAGGCAGCAGTTATTGTCACATAAATATTAAGTTATTACAGTGAGAGGATTATTCATGTTGTCTCAGGCAGCAGTTATTGCCACATTA